AGTCACCTGTAAAGTGCGGGTGCAGCCCTCCTTCGCTCGACCGCGTCGAAGTTGGGAGACAGTCAATAAGGACTCCTTCCATAATTTCCGTTACCGCCGAAAACATTTTCTTTCCACTATAAATTCCTTTTCACCTTCTCTTAGTATTCACAACATTTCTTGGTCTCCAGTTAACTAAATTTTTTCATTCTTTAAAGAAGAATCAATCAAATTCTTCAATTTTTCTGACATTTTTTTGTTAAATCGACATGGGTTATAAGGGATTTTTTGAAGGAGGACTTGCTTCCATTGTTGCAGGATGCAGTACTCATCCTCTTGATCTGATTAAGGTCCGAATGCAACTCCAGGGCGAAGCTCTGGCCCCGCCGCAGACGGCTTTTCCCTGAGAGGCGGGACGAAACCGAAAACCCACCACCGCCGGCCATGTCCATCCTCAAATGGGCCATATCAGCCTCCCTCCACCACCACCACGAGTGGGGCTCGTGTCAGTTGGGATGAAAATTATTCAGCAAGACGGTGCTGCCGCTCTGTTCTCCGGCGTCTCCGCCACCGTCCTCCGCCAGACACTCTACTCCACCACCAGGATGGGCCTCTACGACATCCTCAAACAAAAATGGACAGACCCCAATTCCAACAACATGCCATTAATGAAAAAAATCACGGCGGGTCTCATAGCGGGCGGTGTTGGCGCCGCCGTGGGGAACCCAGCAGACGTGGCAATGGTCCGAATGCAAGCGGACGGCCGGCTCCCTCTCGCGCAGCGGCGGAACTACAAAAGCGTGTTGGACGCCATATCCCAAATGGCTAAGAACGAAGGCGTGGCTAGCCTTTGGCGCGGCTCGTCTCTCACAGTAAACCGCGCCATGCTCGTCACAGCTTCGCAGCTGGCTTCATACGATCAGTTCAAAGAATCTATACTTGAAAAGGGATTGATGAAAGATGGGCTGGGAACCCATATCACCGCCAGTTTCGCCGCAGGGTTCGTGGCGGCGGTGGCGTCAAATCCGGTGGACGTGATAAAGACTAGGGTAATGAACATGAAGGTGGAGGCCGGGATGGTCCCACCATACAGTGGGGCCATTGATTGTGCAATGAAAACTATTAGAGCAGAGGGACCCATGTCCCTTTATAAGGGATTTATTCCTACAATTTCAAGGCAAGGTCCATTTACAGTGGTGCTCTTTGTCACGCTAGAACAAGTCCGAAAATTGCTTAAAGAATTTTGATGACGACGAAGAAGAATTAAAATATATATATTTTTTAGTAATTGATTTCGATTTTGAAATAGGAAGTTGTTAGAAGATGCAATCGAATATTATATATACTACTGAATGGGTTTATATTCTTATTAATGCACGTTTATAAAGTTTGTGAATGCTCAAGTTAAATGACGAAATGAAACGCTTAAGGTTTATGATCTAATGTTTCTCAAAGTCAAACGAAGACTGTTTAGTAATTTATCAATGGGATGCATTCCTAGTGTGTTGAAGTATCTTGTTTTAGTGTCCTGCGAGTGGATGCATTGTAGTTCGACTCTTGCCGAAGTTAATTAACTTGTGAACGAATTAAGAATGTCGGCAATCCTCAATTTGCGAATTCCATTATGAAAAATCTTTAATTAAGTGCTTTTTTGATAAAATTTTGTTAGCATTTAGCAATTTATCAAATTTCAATTTTTACCGTACATTTTATGATATTCACATATTTTATCAATTTATATCAAAATTTGTTAAATTCTTTTATGAAATAGCAAAGTATAAGTGGTTAGTCTAAATAATAGATAAATATGGACCTTATGAAATCCTATTTGATTTGGCACAAAATAACATGTTGGAAGCTTTAGGACCATGCAAGTGCCAAAGACATATTGAGCACTTTGAATTTTCACCTTAAAATTCAATAATGTGAAGAATTCAACGGACGAGATTTGGAGAAATTGTCTATGATGAAAAGTCAAGATTTGAGCAAAGGAAAATGTCATTTTCTTTTCAAAGCCTCTAAAAAAAATTAATATGTTTTGATTTCATTTGATTCTTATTCGAGTTTTATCTTTTTCTTTTATCGTGAAATTGAGAAAAAAAAAAATCAATATGGGATTTTGGATATGACTAAAAATCAAATGTACATGGAGTTGTAAGGAGCCTAAGATTATTTTGCTTCTATTAGTTTTGATAAATAATTTGCTGTTTTAACTTTTAAATTAGATTTGTGGAATAAAATAAATATATAGTGAGTCAATTTAATTAAACTCTTATTCGGTGGGGATTAAAATAAAAATTTTAATAGATTTTGATAAAAGTGGTTGAAAATTTTTGGGTCCCATAAAGTATGTAGCTAAATTAATCGTTGACTTAGTTAAATTAAATCTAAATCTAGATTTTACTCTATACGACTATACCAAACTGGGACTAAATATTTCATCTTTTTCTTTGGCCTAACTTTGTTAGGTTTGGCTTTAGTACCCTAAGTACTCCACTTGCTCGCTCGAGTTTAATTGGAGCTACACGCACATTTTGCCCCAAAAAATGTATTTTTTCAAATCTCATTTTTCAGCTACAAAACTACCACTAGTGCCAACACCAACACTATCGACACCGTCAACACCACCACCATCTCACCATCAACATCACGGCCAGAAGCAACAGCACCACCTCCGGTACCAAAAATCACAACAATCATCTCCATCTCACCACAACCACCACACCCACCAAAAAATCCCCAAACCCGATGTCGTCGTCGCCACCACTGCATCACTACAATCGCCTTATGAACAATTACCACCACAACCTCCTCAAATCCACAGCAGATAGCAGTCCAACAACCAAGGCATCGCTACGCGCATCAGTGTTGTTGCTTCTCGTGCGACGGTCGCACGACATGGCTGTAAGAGGAGATGACCTCCGAAATAGAGATGATGAGTTGGTAGAGAAAGATGGATAATAAATATTATTATTAATATTTAAAAGATAATTATCATCTGATTTTTGAACAAAAATTCTTTCAATCTTATTTTTGAATTGAGAAATTAAAAACCTTGTGTGGATATAATTTCCACCAATAAGATCTATAATATAGAATTGTAAGTTCATCCACCTTAAGACATTAGACATGACTAAAAGAGTCAGAAAAATATGACAGGTCGAACTTGGTTGATCGATGATAAAATTGTAGTCGATTCAGATCTACTCTTCTAAATTTCTTTTTAGTTTTACTATATCGAGAACACAAGCATTGCAAAAGTGGCTCAAATTTATCTTTAAATGCTATTGAGTCCCTGTTTGAGCTCCATTATCAAAAAATCATTTTTCCTCAAACTCATTTTCAATCATACATCTTCCGAATAAAATAATTTTGCACATAAATTCAAGATTTTTTTCCTACATTTTAATCACATATTCTTTAAAAAAAAAAAATCACTATTATAAAATTTGCTCTCTCCCAAAAATAGAGCTCAACCAGAGCCTGAGTCTCGTTTCTTGGAGTTATAGTCTAAAGACGCTAAATACATGGTTGTCAAACATATGCCATATATTTAACAAGAAAAATGCTACTGGAACATATTTTTATAACAGATGAGGTTACACATGTTGACCTATCAACATTTCGTTGGCTAGTTTAACTTTATTTTTTGGTCCAAAATAGTATAAAATCTTGCCATCTCATACTTATGTAAAATCATCTATTAAACCAATATGTATAAGTGGCATTTCTCATTTTACAAATATCTTAGGGTTAGGTTAATGGTTTTTGTTGGCCATTAGGAGTGAAAAAGCGTGCGGTTGGCACGCATACATTGCCAACACAATTTTGGAACATTTTGCGTGTGGACCGTTCCTTCTTGTCCTCTGAATAATTGAAGCCTGTAATTCCCAATTATTAAAAGGTTTAGGGTCACAAAATGCTCAATCACCGCAATTCCTAAGTCGTTATCATATATATAAATATCTTTGAATGAAACAACCTGCACCGTGGTAGCCGCTTGAATAAGTGGACTATCTTCATTGAATTTTGATTTTCAATTTTCGTGTTTTTTCTCCTTGGTTTTTATAGTTTAAAATAACGTACAATTCATTGAAATGGACGGGATAGGTGAGGAAAGAGAGAAATAGAGTGGTGGGCTAACTCTTTTGTCGTTAGATATCATGACATATGGTTCGAGATCTAAAGAGTCGTGACTTGGATAAACAATCCAGCCACATACACACATAAAACCATTTAGGGTGCGTTTGATTGCGACTATGAAATTTTGCTCGAAAAATAAATAAATTCCAGACAATTCAATTGCCTAAAACTTATTTGCATATCTGCATTTGATTGATTTAATTTTCAACCTAAAAAAAATTATACTTGCTCATCATCTGAATTCCAAATGCATTGTTGTAATCTCTAAATTGGATAATTAACAAAATGTTTATGTTTAAGAAAGCAAAGTTAAAGTGCAATGTTGGCAGATTTGAAATCCTTAATTTGTAAAGTTTAAAATCGAAGTGCATATTCGAAAGTAGTGCACATTTTTGTTAATTTCGTGATATAACAATTTAAAAAATCCCCGTGGCTCAATTTTATTTTTCATTTTTGCAAAATCATCTCAATTATTGAGATATTCCTAATGAATATTAGGAATATTAGCAGCGAAGGCCCAAAATCTATCACAAGAGTTGCATTTTGTACATCTAACTTTTCAAAGGAGCATATCAGTTTTCAATTTTTCACTTTTATTGCACCGTCGGTCTCAATTTCCGTTTTCCCTCGACAATTTTGTTGTGTGAACTAATTTTACCAAGAAACGTCATGAATTCTTACACCTAAGAACATCAAGGGCCACACACATAGCAGGTAAACTAGGCGAACATCTACCGAAATTTGAATCAATTTGAACTCAGATTTGTACAAGATGTGCATGATCCAAAATTCCTATTCATAATAAGAAACCTCTATGTATCATTACAGTTGCTTTATGTAATATCAATCCAGATATCTGCTATTCTACATCAGTCCTCCTATGGACCAATAACCTGATCCTTGATTTGTTCAATTTTAGCAACCAGTTCTGCCCGATTTTCCTGGAAATAAAGATCAACCAATTATTTTTCCACAAGACAGAGAAATCATAAGTCGTCATACGGAACATTCTCGAATCCCAACCTTGAAAATTAGATAGCGGGTACTGAACCAGATCACGTATCCAAGACCAACAAGCTCCAACACTTTAGGAAACTACGATTTATAAAATCAAAACCATATTGTAGTTAGCGAAATGCCTAGTAGACAGCTTTTAGTATTTGAATACAAATCAATGCACAGAGAAACGAGTACTCACCACTGGAATAGAATCAATAGCACCAACAACAGCAGATGCCAGCCAAACTGCAACCAATGCACCACCGCCAAATGCTAGGAGTGAATACGTATCATCAGAGTCGAACTGAAATTGATGAAAAGTATGTCATATTTCAAAATAGTTAAAAAGGAATTTGAATCCACTATTAGATCATTCCAATGTAGAAAACAAATCATAGGCACTCGGAATAGAAGTGAATATGTATCGTCAGAGTCAAACTGAAATTGATGAAAAGTTTGTCATATTTCAAAATAGTTATAAGGAATTTGTATCCGCTATTACATTATTCCAATGTAGAAAACAAATCATAGGCACTCGGAAGTTTGAAAGCCCGAGACTGCAATTGATGTAATACTTTCCCTTTCAGACCATTTAAGAACCTCAATTCGTTCCGCTGACGAGAACTATCAGCATTATACGTAAATATAATACTGTGGCTGGCCAACTTTATTTAGCAGGTCTCAATCCACTTATAAGTGCATATTGAGCTCAATTTCACCAAGCATGTACATAGAAATGCCTAGTAATCTGAAAATTAGATTGTGCGCTCGTCACAAAACTGAAATAAAGTGTGTTTCAGAGGATTCAGAAGAAAACAAGAAACGCTGAAATGGGGAACTTACAACTCACATAAAAGGAAAAATTTGAACAAATCAAGGCTTTTGTTTCTCCCAATCAAAAGTTAAAGTTTCAACATTGTAGGAATCATGTGTTAAAATAACTTTACCAGATACCAATTATTTTTAGGGAACTGTCAAATAAGAACAAGGGATCTAAATAGAGAACGTATCAGCATATAAAAACATGAAGAATACTTCAAAAGGGGAATACGGGTATTGTGTAGTTGATGCAAATACATGTCTTCCCTCATATGCTTTGTTTCATTCTTTCAAAGTGAAAAATTAAATGAAGCACAGGGGAAAAGATTTAGTTGACGAATGGGTGGGCATGATTCAGTTTCTGAAGAGAACTAGAACCGAGAATAAATGGTTTTCTTATAATGGAACCATTGGTTCCAACACTAATTATGGAACCAAACTAGAACCAAAGTGTACAAGTGCAAATTACTGTACAAAGTTCTTTTGCCAAAAGTGAAGACCCACATCCAAAATCAAAACAATAAGCCTCGTTCAATGCAAAGAAGTTCCATCTTCATACTAAATGTCATTTTAAAATTCATTCACCAAATCACCAAAGAAACATAAGTAATTAAAAACATGGTTGGATTAAAACCGGTTCTTGGTTCAACCAAAACTGACTGGTTCTTAGTTCTAAGAACCAAAACCATTTAAAATTGAACGAAAACCGAAACTGATTCAGTTGATTCAGAATCTTTTGCCTGCCCCCAAGTCAATGCATAATATAACAAACAGAATATTCAAAAGACAATATCAATACAAATCTTGTGAGGACATTAAAAATAGAACACAGATAGAAAAATGTATTATAAGGTTGCTCAGGTAACCGCTCAGTATTGACAATGACTGTCAATGTTTCAGCAAGCCTCTATAAGCTTTCAAGATGTTGAAGTATTCATCATGGCAACCAAATTCATATCAACTTACTTATTTTGGAATAGGCACTTCGCATGTTTAGTTGAGCTTATAAGGTTCTTATAACTTACAAGCATCTTATAAGCCCCCAACCAAACATACTAAGTGCGAAGATATAACAAAGACACAAAATTGAAAAGACTAAAATGTAAAATATAGAGAGAGAGAGAGAGAGAGAGAGAGAGAGAGAGAAGTAGAAAAAGTTGTAAAATTGAGAGAGAGAGAGAGAAATTACTAGACATTAACATTGACAAGCGTACACAAAACTATGGAAGAAAGCATGCAAGGGTCAATATTTAGCTGGAAATAATACATAAATAAATATGAACAAAGAAACGGGTGCATCTCTACTTAACAAACAGATCCATAGTTCAACCCTACAATTCTAAAACACCAAACAAAACCATTTTGAGTAGACTGAACAAGCAAATGTAGGACTAATATTATGTAATTAGTCCAATGTCTTTAAACAGAGAATGCTGGAAAACCTAGAAACCTTAATGTTTTGGTCATATGATCTGTTTTAATTCAATCAAACACAGAATGCAGGAAAACCATAACACTTAAAAACAATGATATTAGCCTATTTCAATTCTAGCACTCCCATGATATGAAATAATAAACCCTTCATGTCAAACAATATATTCCAAACAAAAGAAATCAGCATTGTACCCGAAGAATCAAGCGAGCTCATATACAAATGCAGGTAACAGCCAAAGAAGGAATTGCTGAAGAAAGTTGAGTCAATGTACTGGTTGACCTAATATACTTGGTCATTTCAAGTGACATGGTTACTGTGTTAAATATATGCTTTAAGGCAGATTAAGTTTGGAAGATCTTTTTAATAAATTATGAAAGAAGATTTTATTATTCAAGTACAAGTTAGATTCACACTCAGTTCAAACACAAAGAAGGGTAATGCACGACTAATAAAAGAAATATGAAGAAACCTTACATCAAGGTTTTCCAAGAACTCGAACACCTTCATTGGGTTATCCACAAAAGAATCCTCTTGTGGCTTTTCACTGCTCTGAGTTGCTAGATTGTACTCTTCATTATTTTCAACTGGTCGAACGTCTTCGACAGTTATCACACTATCGGGGCCATCTTTGACATAAGAGGGTGCTTCAATTGAAGTTTCCTCTGATGTCGGAGATGAACTTTTATAGCATCGCAACCCTGAAAACAAAAACCAAAAAGAATTCTTTAAAAATCTCATCTTTCATCTCTCTTCCTTCTGAAGATTAAAGACCTCACAGAGCCCTAAAGTTACATACACAATACTTCCATAGATAAAGAATAAGGAATTTCACGAATATTGCAAAATCAGGAAATTCAACGCAAATTTAAAATTATCAACATCTATTTCACATTTAACCTCGAAGAAACATTTTTCTTTTAACATTGCAAGCCTCGTCAATAAAAATCAAACTCTGAATCTTCATAAAATAATAATAATAAATAAATATGAAATCTATACAGAAAATGAATTAAAAATCTATAAATTAGAAACACACAAGCTCTATTGACATCTTTACATAAGGACAATTACCATAACACAAATAAGGAATCGAAAAATTACCTATGTTCAAGCGATTATGCTTGAGCAGCGGAGAGTAACGGGACTGAGTGTGGACTGGATTGATAGACCTATGGTGCGGTATAGGAAGGTTCGAGATGGCTCGAATTGCGCACAGCTCCATTCCTTGGTGTTCACTGTTTTACTGTGTTCTAGGGTAAGGCTTCTAGAACTTATTTATAGAGGCAATGGATGAAAATTAGGGTTTGGGCCTTTGGCGGTGTTGGGTGTCTATAATAGTTTGTTTGGGGTAATCAACTTTGCAATTTGTTGCACTTTACACCCTGGAACTTTCTCTTTCACTGATTTCGTCCTTAAAAATAAATATATGGTTGAATGTATAACAAAGTAGTTAAATACATCTTAAAAGGGCCATCGAAAGAATTTAGCAATGTAGGTATATTTCATAACATTGTGACTGTTTTTTTTATTTCTTTGTTTATTAAAATATGAACGACCAAATTCTCGTGTCTAACAATGAAAAACTTAGTCATAAAAAATTATATTAGTAGATTCGTCAATATATTCAATGTTAAATCACGTTAGGAATAATGATATGTAACATCACTGGAGTTATAACCACAATCTAGATAGCAATAGATTAAATGAAATGTGAAATTAAATAAGTCATTTAACTCCACTTATCATTTAATATCACATCAACACCATATAAATTAGGGTTACAATCTCAGTTGACTAAATAGAATTACTCTAACGATAAGATCTTTTCCCTTTATTAATTGTTATTTTTCATTAAAAATGCTTTCGAAAATTAATTTTTGAAAATGCTTTAAAGACTTTTTTTTTTTTTTTAAGTATTTGTAGCTTGTGCCTTGCTCTTTTTGTCCTTCTGCCCCTCAATCGATAATTGAAGTTAACACATACAATAACATTATGGACATGGGATGTATTCGATATAATTAATAAGGACCCAAAATGTAACTAATTAGAACGTGGGATTGGGAGAAAACCAAGGCATTACTTTATGGTTGGCTAGGGTGAGTATTCTATGCCTCCTAATTGGACATTTTCTTTTTCGAGAAACACTAATAATTTATCCACCTCTTTTATTTCAATATTTTTTTTTATATGCCAATTGTCGATCAATTAAAGTATGATTTGAATAATTTAAAAAGTAGGGGATGTTCTCTTTGTATTTCAATTTTGAGTTTTGAATTCAATTTGAGCTTTGTGTTTTGAATGTCCTTTTGAACGGCTCTGCTACATGTACATTATGGTGTACATAAGGGTGTCCATAATGGACACCCTTATGTACACCATAATGTATAAGGAGAATAATCCAATTTAAAATTAACAGGTTACCATTTTGTATCCTAGGGCTGAATGAGAACTTTAGCATAGAAA